AAGGTATATGTGAAGTATAAATGAATTTCACATTTAGATTGGTCCCATCCCCAGGATATCTAATTTATGTGTATTCAGATATTTCAAAATCCAAAACACTTGTGGTACCAAGCATTTAAGATAAGGGATGGTCAGCCTGTAGTATATAAAGCTGAAGAGGTTAAGAATATTTTATTGTAAACTGTAACATTAAGAATACATAAAGGCATGGGGGTTGTGGCTCAGTGGCAGGGCACTTGCCTTACAAGTATGAGGAAAATAAATAAATAAAGGTGCTGTGTCCATCAAAACTAAAAAAATGTTTTTTAAAAAAGTACACATAAAAAACAACAGAAATGGTTTCGTCAAACTTAAATGTGGCGTGTTCTACCTTAACTTCATTTTGTTTTTTTAACTTTCATTTGTATCTGTATTTAGTTTCAGTGGGTCAACTGCCTAATTTCCAGATGCTTCAAATCCTTCAAAACCTGAGAAATATTTTAGGGATGGAAGGGAAGTAGTACTGTCAAAGTTAGATTTCTCTGGCTTTTTATACTCAAAATGGCATGACTACCTCATGATTTATCCTAAAGATAGTGATGTGGACTCTTTGAAAGAGAAAATAAAGTTGAGATTATAAAGCACATATTCAGGGCATTAGGCTGTACTTGATACAGTCACTCTATTTAAGCTACCAAGGAGCACTTCCCAGGGGTTAAGCATGTTATTTTTACTTCCTTCAGTGTGAATTTGAGAGCAGAAGTTTGTGGTGTTTGACATGTTCTAAAGTGAAAAATTTTACTAGTCAACATCTTGAAGGCTCCCACATTCAAGGAAGTAGGTAAGAATTATCAAAGTTTAGGTAATGGACAGATTAGAGGTTTTTCTTTTCCTTGAAACCAGAATACACCATCAAGTTTACAATAGACAAGTAATTTTGTCACTAGAGTTTTATGTCATTTTGAAGATAAGAACCAAAATCTACTCACTGATGTTTTTGTAAATATGAGAGAAAAACAGAAACTATTTCCACAGGAAAAAGAGGATGGTAAAAAAAAACTTTAAAACCTGTTGGTTTTGTGCTGTGCCTTAGACATCTGCTATTGGGATATTTAAGTTTTAAATACCTTTAGAATCTTCAGAATGATAATGGAGCTTATTGCACTATATTGTCCCTTTTAAAAAAATCTTCAATTTGGAGAGTCTGTGCTTACTAAAAGACATGGAAGGAGTTTCTCATAATCTTATCCCACTTGTGCAAATTATTGCTATGAAGAAACACATAGGACTTTTGAATAAGAAGCTTAAAAGCTCAAAAACTCATAAATTCATACATGTTTTGTCTCTTCAACTTTCTTTTTCCCATTAGCACTGTTTGGGGATGTATTTACACAGGCACTTTTCTCTTTCATAATAAATAACCCACATGTTTAGAGTTATAGGTACCTTAAATATAATTACATTTATAACTATTTCCAGAACTACTTTCTGTCCTTATTAATTTACTTGCACTGCATGTTATTCTTCTAATATATTCTTCAATTTGCTTTTGATTTTTAAAAATCATAATTATATGTATTTATATTTTACAAAGTAAAAATAATACTTCGTTGCTTATAATAATAGCTCCCTCATTTTTGTCTAACTCTGATTTCTATTTCTCTAAGACAAGCCCTTTCACCACTTTTGTTGTTTCTTCTTTTTATTTCCACCTTTCCAGATTACATTCTTAAATTGTTGATTATTATTGTTCTTTTGGTATTTCTGCTGACTTCTTATCATTGATGATGTTGAATTACCATATAAATTACTACACATATCCTACCTCTTTGCATTCTTCCAATATACTTATCTCCAAGTTTACACTATTGTGCCTGAGGCACGTAGTATATTATGACTTGTATTTTAATATTTCATGACATGCTTTAGTTTTGAGCTTCACTTTTTCCTGTCCTGGTTGTTTTGTTTGATTATTTGTTTGTACACACATCACCAGTTCATTCTCATTTTTCTTGCTAAATCTATAAAATTCCTCCCAGTGTTGTTGCTATTATAAAATACATCATCACTTATTAATTATCTTCAGGTAATCTATACATCCACTTTTGAGTTTCCATCCATTGTTCCAGTCTGTACTTTATTCTCTAGGTGTCTATCATCCTCAAGGTTCTCTCCACTGTACATCTGTGGTAGATCCCCTTTCTTTTCTGGACTTCTGTGTGTTCCTTTTTCTAGGTTTATTTCTTTAAATTGGTAGAGCACACCCTGGTAGCTTCCTGAAAGAGTCTCTGATTGAGGTACATTTTATTTAGAGTTTGCATTCTACCATTGTATTTAATCAACACTCTGGAAACATAATTCTAAGTTGAAAATTTTAATTTCTTTCCCTCAGAGTTTTGAAAACATTACCCAATTGTCTTCTAAATTTCTTTGTTGCCACTAAAAACTCAGTGTCTTCTGATTTTTTAATCATTTGGAGGTAATTATTTGGACTTTTCAAAATTTAAGATCTTTTCTCTAGTATTTTAAATTTTAAAAAGAGAAGGGAGCACATATATTATAATTTAAGTACAGAAAAATGTATTTAATCTTCTAGAATGAGGACATGAAAGAATGATTATAAATTTGACCTAGCAGTGTGCTTTATACTGCAGTATTTGTGGAATGAAAGGTTTTCCTATTAATTTTTGGCATGAACTCAATTTTTTATTAAATTAAATAGGAGAATCAAGATGTAGTTAGAAACTTTCTGGGTTTACCTTACCAGATATGTAGCCAAATTTTGCTCACTAGATAAGTAGCTGTAGACTTTGTCAATGAAGGTAAAAGGGTATTTGCTATCTTTGTTCTCTTATTACTCCCCGTACACAGTTTACAATTGTCAGATCAGGAAAAATAGTATATCCATGACTTTAAACTTATCATTTCTTTGTGTTGGGCATGTTCAAAATCGTCTTTACTAGCTGTTTTGATATACATCTTTGTTAACCATAGTTATCCTACAGTACTATAGAACACTAATTATTTCTCCTGTCCAGTTGCACCCAAGTACCTATTAAATGTCCTCATTCCATCTCCCTTCCCCATATTCTCCCCAGCCTCTGCTAACCACCATCCTACTCTGTACTCCTATGAATTTGACTTTCTGGATTCTACATGTTGTTACAAATGACAGGGTTTGTCATTTTCCTTCTTTTTATGGCTCAGTAGTGTTCCTATGTGACTACATAGCACATTTTTTTTTCTTTTAATTTCATCCTCTGTTGACATCAATGTTGATTCAATATTTTGGCTATTGCAAATAATGCAATGATAAAGGTGGCAGTGCAGATGTCTCTTCAAAATACTGATTTCCTTTCCTTTAGATACATAGTGGTGGAATTGCTAAATCATAGGGTAGTTCTATTTCAACTTTTTGACAAACTTCAATACTGCTTTCCATATGACTAAATAATTTACAACCTTACCAACAGTATTTGAGAGAACCTCTTTTGCTACATCCTTGTGAACGTTTGTTATTCTTTTGTCTTTTTTTATAGTACTCAGGCTAACTGAGGTGAGATGGTACCTTATTTTGATTTTGATTTGCATTTCCCTAATGATTGGTGATGTTGAACAGTTCCCCCCACCCCCATATACCTGTTGACAATTTATTTGTTTTAAGAAATGTCTATGCAGGTCTTTTGCCCATTTTTTAATTGGTTCATTTGTGTTCTTGCTGTGAAGTTGAGTTCCTTATGTATTTTTAGATATTAACCTTTTGTCATACGTATAGTTTGCAAATGTTTCCTCACATTCTGTAAGTTATTTCATCACTGTTTTGGTTGTTTGCTCTTCTGTGTAGAAGCTTTTCAGTTTGATGTAATCCTATTTGTCTGCTTTTGCCTTTGTTGTCTGTACTTTTAAGATTTATTAAACAAACAAACATACAAAAAAACAAACTATTTGCCCAGCCCAATGTCATGAAGGTTTTCCTGTTTTTGTCTAGTAGTTTGAAAGGTTTGAATCTTACATTTAAGTCTTTAAATCCATTTTGAATTGATTGTTGTGTATGGTGAGAGATAGGAGCCTAATTTTATTCTTTTTTTTCTGTGAATATTCAGTCAATTCTTGTTCTTTTGCATCATTTTTATGAAAGTCAACACTTTATTATTATCTGGTTTTATAAGAGTTTAAAGAGGATGTGTTTATAATAAACCGATAAATCCAGTTCTTCATTCTACTTGAACTTTTTCATTTTTCCTTCTTATTTTAAGATTTTTACTATCTTATATGTTCTTAAAATCCTGTAGGATTTTGTGTGTCCTTTAGATAGATATATACTCTCCTTTGCAGAAGTTATACTTTAAGCAACTTGCATAGCGAATTAGGGCTACTGAGAATTCCTTGGCTAAATAAATTGCTCATTTTTAGCCAGATTAGTCACTTATATCTAGTTACTTTCAGTTTTCTCAGATGAGATGAATAGAAAACTTTCCTTTTTTGAAGGAAAGTTAGAAGACTCATTTTCTTTTCAGTTTTAAAAAATTAGTTTGCCAACAACTGTCTGTATGAAGAATACAGTAGGAAAGATCTTGCCATTTACATCACTTTTTTCATCTGGCCCAACTTTCCAGGGAAAGAAAATATTTTGGTGTTCAATCTAAGTAGATATTTCATCAAAGCTGACTTTCAGCTAAATTTAAAGAGTAGGTCCAAAACAGCTTCGTGTTTTTAAATAATCAAACTCCTAATGCCTATGCTGTCTAACACAAATAGTTTTACCTCTGTGTTTCAGAGAGCAAGTCTATCCTGTCTTACTTAACTCACTTGACCCTTTGCTCTTAATATTAAATTTCTTCAACCTCCTTTGCTTCTTTTCTTCCCTCTTTAAATTCTTTGCTCTGTGAAAATATCTTTCTGGCCTGGATTTAATTCCAAAGGGAAGAACATTTAAAGAACAAATAGCCCTTCCTTGACAAATGGGCTCTCCTTAGGTTAACTGATTAATTTACTTCACCTAGTCTTCCATCATTTTCCAGGACAGTCTCCGTAAGAAGGATGACAGGATTGAAGAGCTGGAAGAAGCACTGAGAGAAAGTGTACAGATAACTGCAGAGCGGGAAATGGTGCTGGCACAAGAGGAATCAGCCAGGACCAATGCTGAGAAACAGGTCTGCAATTTTATACAGTTACTAGCAATGCTGCTGGTTAAACACAAGGTAAAACCCAACCAGTGTAGTTTAGATAAACCTAAATATTATATCTTCAAAAACTCTTCATCAAGTGTAAGTATTTAGACAAAAATCATAAATGAAATATGGCTATGCATATTAATTCTTTAACTCATGTTAATGCAGAGATATCTGCTCCAATAATTTTAGGATTCATTAACATAGTATAAGCGAATATATCTGGTGAGATGAAATGGAACTTGTCTCTGCTATAAGACTAGACACAACCTGGCTTTTAAATGGAATGAGAAAACACAAGTGTTTCTGACTCAAAGATGTTAATAGCAAATAGTTTATTTTAAACCTTGCTGTGTTCAAAAGAGGAAGTAAGATCATAACAAGGCTGTGGTTGTGGCTCACTGGTAAAGCACTTGCCTAGTGCTTATGAGGCACTGGGTTTGATCCTCAGCACCACGTAACAAATAAAATAAATGTATTGTGTCCATTTACAACTAAAAATATATTTTTAAAAAATATTATAACAAATTAATGTTGGTAGAAAATATGCAAGACATAGATATTATGGTCCTCAAGTCCCATATCAGCAAGCATGTCTAAACTTTGAGAGGACTTGAAGAATTCTTCTGTTGCTGTTTGTGGCATTTGTTTTGTATATTTTCTACTTTTTTCTTTTAGACCCCTGAACCTTTGCTTTTGACTTTTTATTGGAAACAATTACTAATGATTGGAGGCATGAGTGAAAGAACGAGTTTTAACAATTAAGATTGTAATCTCAGTTTCCATTCTGAGACTATGATTTGTGGTTTTGAATCTTTTTTGAATCTACCTCACATAGAGATTGATGACATTTCGTTTTTGTACTAATTGTTTTCTTTCTATTTCCTTGTGAAAGAACAAATGTCATTCAGTTAAAAAGAGTTGAACTAGAGGATGACAGGATCTGTTGGGGAACCCCTTCCATCAGACCAGTGCTGTTATGGAGTTAAGGTAGTTGGGTAGTAAAGAAGGGTTTGTTGCAAGGCAGACATAGTGTAGTGTGTATCCCATGGGGTCCTTTCATAGCCATGTTAGGTGCAAGGATATGGCTTCTTCAGTTCCAAATGTAAAACAAAAGACCAACTGCTATTTCTTAACAAAGATGAGGGAAAATTGATCTTTTTGCAGAATGAGTATCTTTCGGTGCCCTTTCCTAGATAAATATCTTGGAACACTTTCATAATGCACAAATAAATCTTGAGTAGTGGAAGGCTTCAGAGAAAGGATGACCACAGCCATTGTCCATTGTCCAGGGTGTTAGGGATTTTGATTTTACTCTTTTTGTATTTTCTTCTTTATTTTTAACTCCTGTCCTGCAACATACACATGTTTTCTATAAAAATTTCCTTCTGTTCTGGTCTTGGTGTTTAGTGACAAGTCATAAACATCAGAGATTGTGTGGAAGTTTTGGCAACTGACAATAGATTTTATCATTATTATACATCAACTTTTGTGTTTTTCTTTTTAAAATATTATGTGAGCTGATTATAATGTGCTTTCTTGAAGTATGTTTTATTAATAGCAAATAGTTATGTTTATGTTTATGTTTAGTTATGTTTATGTTTAGTTTATGTTTATGTTTTATCCTTAAAGCAGTTTTTAAATCTGCAGAAAAATTGCACAGTAAATAGTTTTCACTTAATTTTTTCTCCACCTGTTATTAATGTCTTGCCTTAGTGTGATACTTGTGGTAAAATCAATGAACTAGTATTGATACAGTATTATTAATGAGTTCACAGTCTACATTGATTCACCCTTTATGATATGCAGTTCCATGGATTTTTCCAAATGTATAAGGCCATGTATCTTTTATTATAGTATTGCACAGTGTCTTCACTGCCCTAAAAATCTCCTGTGCTGTACTTTTTCATTCTTCCGCCATCTTTTTACTCTCTCCACAGTTTTGCCATTTTCTTTACTGGTAATTGGAACCATATAGCATACTGCCTCTTCACATTAGCTTCTTTCACTTAGCCTTTGCATTTAAGGTTCCTCCCCATCTTTTCATGACTTAATAACTTATTTCATCTCTGAATTATAGTCTATTGTATTGGGTTTTCCAGTTTGTTCACCCCTTCACCTGTTGAAGAACATCTCGTTTGTTCCAACTTTTCACAATTATGGATAAACCCACTGCAAACTTCATGTGCAGGTGTTTGTGAGGACATGAACTTTCAGCTTATCTGGGTAAATATCTAAGAGTATGGTTTCTGCATTGCACGGTAAAGTCATAGGGTAAGATAGTTAGCTTTGTAAGAAACTGCCAAACTATCTTCCAAAGTGGCTATATAAAATTTGCCTTTATGCTTTTTTCCTTCTCTTTCCTGTTCATCTTGTTTTCCACCATTCTGCTACTTACTGCCTATCTGAAGCTGTTGAGTGAAATATTGCATGAGACCAGTCATTTGGGCTTTAAGTGGTTCAAGGTATGAAGAAATTGCTTGTATGTTTGTTCTAATGAAGCCTTAAAACTTTCACCCACTGTTCCCTCCTCCCCATCTTCTGTTCTTATTCTTATCCTTTTCTGTCTTCTAACTGCACTGTTAATTTTACTTACCTGTGTTAATTGTGTGCACTATCACCTATAGATAATTTTTTTAAATGCTTTAAATGGATGAAGTTTTTTGGCTAAAGACATTATTCTGATTATCTTTCTTAGGTCATAAAACTATTTCTTAAATTAAGCCTCCTGAGATGAAATGAATCCCACTAATAGAAACAGGATATCTTCATCTCTTGATTCCTAAAAGTAAAATTTAATGGGAACCATGGCTCATGTTAAAAAAGACATAGAGCTGGCCTATTGCCACACACCTTTAATCCCAGTTACTCAAGTAGGCTGAGGCAGGAGGATTGCAAGCTTGAGGCCAGCCAGGGCAATTTAATGAGATCCTCTCTCTAAATAAAATAAAAAATGGGATGGAGCTTGTGTTCGGTGCCAGAGTTCTTATCTAGCACCTGCGACTCCCTGGGTTCAATCTCTAGTACCTCAAAATAATATAATAAAAAAGAAAACTGTCTCAAGTTTGAAGAGGGAAAAAAATCCCAAAAAGAAGCTTTTTTTTTTTTTTTAAACGATTTTCCTATATTCTTACAGAATCTCCATGCATTTATTATTATTATTATTATTATTATTATTATTATTATTCATAATGCACTTATACATTGCTTAACCTAGGGGATGTGTTCTGCGTTCTGAGAAATGTATCATTAGGCAATTTCATCATTGTGTCTACATCCTAGATTGTACTTACACAGACCTAAATGGTGTAGGTCAGTCACTTGCTGTGCTCTCTTGATATATTCAAGAGATGGGTTAAGCATGGGCTGTGTGAGTCTGCTGCCCACATAACATGGCATAATGCTTTTCAGCAAACTTTCTTTAATAAGTAGGAGTAAACTTTAAACAACAACAAAAAGTACACTATAGCAAAAAAAAAAAAACAGTAATATGATCCTTTATTATCGTATCAGATATCACATACTGTACATAATTGTGTTGCTATGCTTTTATATGACAGAAATACAGTAGATTTATACCAGCATTATCATAAACATGTAAGTATGCCTTGCAGTGTTTTTCAGCTTATTGTAATCATAGTTTATAAGTGGTTTGTTCTTGAATGAGGCACCATTATGCCAAAATTTAAAATTCCAAATGCCAGAAATTCAAAGACATTGTGTAGTAAAAGTAGATGCCCACCTACCAGTGGTTGCAAATTGAAAGATTTAAGTAAAAAAACCCAGGAGAAAACCTAAGGACTCTTTTCTTTTGTTTTATCCTTTTCCACATCTGCTCAACTTTGGTGAGTTTTGTGTTTTGTTGAATGTGAGATTCTGTTTACTTAAAATTAGGACAAACAGGTTCTAAAGAAGTCTCAGAATGGCCAGGAATGAATATCCTGTAATATCCTTAGTTCAGCCATGTTTGTGTGAACTTAAAAAATTTTTAAGTATTTTCAGTGATATTCTTTGTGGTTAAATGTATTTTTTTGTTATCTAAGAGTTTTCAAAAATGCCAGTAAAATAAGAAGACTTTTTTTTATAGTTCATTAAACTGGTTTTATGAACTATTTTATTCTTATCCAGTAACCTAAAGGTATATTCTATCAAAATAACTGACATTTACACATAAGTTCTGATTTTTGTTTTAAAACTCAATTTTTAATAGCGATACTCATTTTTTCAAGTGGTCTTTTGGAAGAAGGAGGCTTGGGTATTAAACCTGGGACCTCATACATGGTAGGCAAGAACTCTTATCCCTGAGTTACATCTGCCCCAGCCCTTTGTATTTAATTTTTTTAAAAATATTTTTTTTAGTTGTTGATAGACCTTTATTTTATTTATTTGTATAGGGTGCTGAGAATCAAACCCAGTACCTCACACATGCCAGACTTGTGCACTACCTCTGAGCCCCAGCCCCTACATTTAATTTTGAAACAATCTCTCACTAATCTGCTCAGACTGACTGCAGATCTGCTATTCTCCTGCCGTAGCTTCCCAAGCAGTTGGGATTACAGGTGGGCACCACCACCCAGCTTCAAATGGACATTTTGACATTATTTGTAATTTTAAGATTAGTATAAATTCTTCACTTTCAAAATCATAAGATATTATCTGTTAAGTATAAATTTTTGACCTTCAAGAACTTACAATTTTCTCTATGGTTTACTAGATAGATAATTACAGTCTGCCCTCTATCTCTGTGAGCTTCACATCTGCAGCTTCAACAAATTGTGGTTTGAAAATACTTTTTTTAAAAACGTGTCAGTATCGAACATGTATACTCTTTTCAGTTTTCCCAAAACAACACAGTATAACAATTGTTTATATGGCAGGTGTGACTTGGGTATTGTAATTAATGTAGAGAAGATTTAAAGTACACAGGGGGATGTGAGTAGGTCATATGCAGACACCCATGTTATAGAAGGGACTTGAACAGCCACAGATTTTGGTGTTCACAGGGATCCTGAAACCACTCCCTATGGATAGTTTTCTATTTGGTATAAATTGATTAGATTAGAACTTGCTTTAGATTGAGCACTCAGAAAGATCCCCTGAGAAAGGGACATTTAACAAGAGCCCTGAAAACTGAGAAGTTTGCCTTGTGATGAGTGGGGGAGGAATCAGCAATTATGATGGTAATAAGGTAATTATGAAGGTAATAAGAACTGGACATTTCTGAGTAAGACTTCTATTACTTTTGGGAGCTATGTGTGGTATGCAGTACCTATGGAAGCCTTGGCAAGAAGTTTGTGTTTTTTTAAGAGTGGTGGAAGCCATTGAAGAGTTTTAATAGGACATCATCTGATTTGTGTTTTTAAAAGATCATTCCATCTGCTATGGGAGAATGAATTGGTGGATAAGTGTGAAAGAAAAATCAGATGAGTTATTAGAGTGTTTAGGCCAGATATCTTCAGACTGAAGTGTCTGTACCTGGAAATATAGGAATGCTCTCTCAAAGGATTGAAGTTTTTCAGTTTCCAAACATAGCTTTTCCTCAAATTGATCTTCTCTAACAGCAAGTACTATGTGCAGAATCACCTTTTCTATTTTTCCTTTCACAACTATGTACCTCTCACTTTTCAACTATGCACACCTCTCCTCACTTTCTGACCTGTATTTTCCTTGGGGGGAAAAACTGTGCAATTTAACAAAGGAATAGTTCAAAACATTAGTATCAAGAAAACAAATGATTATGAACTGGTTGTTGTTTCCAGTTCTTTGTTTCCTACAGAATTGACAGAGGACCTAATTAAGTTGCCAATTGATACAATGTTAAAAATAATTGTTTATGATAGGTATATAAATCTAAAGTATATAGAGTATATATCTATCTAAAGTATATAGAGTATATAATTCTAAAGAAGTGCAAGGAATTGAGTAACACTGCTCTTCTTTTTTTTTATATGAAACAGGTTTCTCAGTGTTCACACTTATAAAAGTGAAACACACCAATAGAATTGATGCTGAACCCTGTATCTTTCTAACAAGTATTATTTATCAAGGGATATCTTTTTTTCTTTTCTTGTGATGCTAGGGATTGAACCCAGAGCCGTGCCCATGAACCCAAGCAGTCTACCATTGAGCTATACCTCCTATCAAACTAAAAATAACTTGTGAGTTTCATTAGTCCCATTCAGATAAATATGTTTAACTAGACTTTTTTTTAATATTTATTTTTTTGTGGTAGGTGGACACAGTACCTTTATTTTATTTTTATGTGGTGCTGAGGATCGAACCCAGTGCCTCACACGTGCTAGGCGAGCACTCTACCCGTGAACCACAATCTCAGCCCTAACAAGACTTTTAGTAATTTTCGTATTAAATGTTCATATTGTTTTTATTGTATATTATTAGTAATTATAATTATAAATCAATTCATGATATTTTTTAACAGTTATGACTAGAAGAAATTTTTAAATGATCAGATTTAAATTTATACATGTATTTTTGTTAAGAAAAATATGAAGGATGATCCATATAAATAGTCTAATGTAAAATAAACTAAGTTACTATAAAATTCCAGGCAGAAGGGAATGGAAACAAAGTCAAGAGAAAAAAGAACATCTAAAGAATAGTTTGACCTCCTACTTTTGAAATGGGTAATGATGGATGTCAATCACTATGGTATTTATATTTCATTAGATACTTTTTTTTTTTACTTTTGTCATTAGATACTTTATTTCTTAATAAACAATTTTTAAAGAACCCTAGAAATTACATTTTTTTGCTTCTCTTTATGATATAAAACATTTATATATTTGAAAAGTGAGTGACTCACCTGAGACAGAAATTCAACCAAGAGATTTTATTGGGGACTGCCTGAAGGGGAAGAAAAGGAGAGGCAGAGAGCAGCCGCGTGAGCCTGCAAGCTTCAGTTTAAGAAGGGTTGCTTTGGTGACATGTCGGTTGGTGATTGGGAAGGTTACTCAGAAATGAGTGAGCAGACACTGTGTCTCGTGGGGATTGGTTGAGAATACTTTTGACTTTGCCACCCTCCCGGCTTGGCACCCTTCAGAGAGGAGGCGGAGGGGTAAGGGATTATGTGATGTTCTTCTTGAGAAACGGAAACTTAACTTCAGCAAGGAGAAACCTGATGGGGGGCAATAAAACCAAAGGCAAGGTCTCCCACACACCCAACATTCCTCCCTTTTTGTTTTTGTGTTGGAAGCAGGGCGTTGAGATTGTCTGGCTACTTCCTGCTGAAGAGGGACGACGAGTGTGAAGGCAGGGAGGGATGGTCGAGCGTGAAGGAAGCGGGCGATGGTCATGGTGTAGGGACAAGAGAAGCACAGGTGTAAAGGCCAGGGCTTTATGATATAAAATTTCCTTGGGGCTGAAATCAATGAAAGTTCCTTGAAGCCATAGGTCATGGATAGTCTCGATCCAATCCTTTGTCCCTGCAAATGGGGGAGTCAGCTAG